TCGCGCTCTCTTTGTGCGAGCAGGAGCTGAAGGACTGGACTGCCGCGCTGCGGGGCGACGGGGAGCTTAGTGCGCTCTCAGCCGTGCGCACAGTCAGCCTCGCGATCCACAACCACTCCGCGTCGGTCGAAATGTGGGGTCCTCCGAGCTGTGTCACGGACTTCGCGGCCTTCTGCACTAATGCGCATGCCCTCCGCCTCGCGTGCGCGCTACCGCGTCTCTGCGACGGCCTGAACTTACCGCCACGCCTGACGACCCTCGACCTGCGGTGTTCGTTTGAGGGCGCGTACGTGTATGACACCATCTGCCTCCACGCGCACGCACTCGAAACGCTCGTGTTGCGAGAGTACGCCCCGTCCGTGCTCGCCCCCGGCGCGCCGATACTAACCCTCCCATCCATCACCTCCCTCACCCTCGCGTACCGCGATACTGCGCTCGGCGAGGGCCTCCTTTCCCTCGCGCGCTCCTTCGCGCTCCCGCACTTGCGGCGGCTGACGATCAGAGGAAGCAATGAGCGCAGTCTCGGATACGCCCAAGTGCTGGACGGCGGAATCGCACTGACCCTTTCGTTCCCCCGCCTACGGGAGCTACACCTACAGGACGTGCGCCTGGACCGTGCGCTCGATATCCGTGTATTGCAGGAGCTCTGCAGCGAGATCACGCATCTGCGCCTCGCGAACGTCGTCGAGCAGCTTGGGAGCGGGGCGGGGCTTCTCACGCCCTTCGCGCACCTCCGCGTGCTGGAGATTCCGCGCGATCCCGCGCGGGTGGAGCTCCCCCGGGAGCTCGCCGAGAGTGTTGTCGTCCGCCGCGTCTCTCATCGCCGCCACGCGGACGTGGATTTCCCAGAGCTGGACTTCTACCTCCACACCGACGGCTCAGTGACGGAGTTCGAGCCCCCGGCACCGGTGGCACACGTGTGTTCGGATTTCTGCGCGTTTTCGGATTACTGCCAGGTGGACGACGATCTGAGTCCGTGGAGGGATATGCGGTCGGATGCGGAGCGGCTGCTGGACCAGGCCAGGGGGGGTCAGATAGCGGTAGCGTGACGCAGTGGGTATCTGGATTTTTTCTAGAATTTTTGAATCGATATTCCGATTTCGTGACCAGTTGGCTCTCAGGGCTTCAAGTAGTGCTGTAGCACGCCGATTTGAAGTTTTGGGAACTGGCAGGATTTCCAGGTTTGTCTGCGAGTTCGACCAGAGTTTGAACGAGTGGCCACAGGTCCTCGAACGAGCGCGGGTTTGGGAATCACTCCGGAAATGCCGATGTTTATGGGCCCCCGAAGATGTAACTGAAAGGTGTAGTTTCTGGATTAGTTTCAGGACGCACTGAAACTATTGGTTTCAAGAGCGCTGAAACCACCGGGGCGCCCCGGACCGGCCCGGGCCGGCGTTCTAATACTTTTAGTTTCAGGAGCGGTTTCGGTAGCTCCCGAAACTACACATATCAGTTACATCTTCGGAGCCCATGAAATATTCGATTTTCTGGAGTGAATGTGGTATGTACTTGATGTAAGATTGCGCGGAAGTTGGTGTTGGAGAGCAGCCCGGGGCCACGGCTCGGCATTCGTGGTGCTGGAGTGAGGTTCCTGTAGAGTACGAAAAGGGACACCACGAGATCGTTCGATGGTTTCACTTCGTCCAGTAAGCGTCGCAAATCGTCCAGCAGTGAGCCGTGTGCGGCTCGAGCCTCGAGTGGCAATTGCCTGAATTGCTTCAGTGCGGCCGGCGTCGATGGACTGGTACCTGGTAGGATGCCGGAACCCGGGACAAGTTGTTGAGAGTGACTGGGGAATGCATGCTGCGCCCGGTACGGTTTTTGCTGGATGATGGAGGTGGATCGTGGACAAGGAGCGTTCGGGTCTTGCCGAAACTCCCGTGACCATGTAACAGCGTGTGACCCGCAGCTTGTCTCTCGCCACCACTTGACCACCACACCATGGACGACCAACCGCTCTTTCCACTCGACTTGGAACGAGAAATATTTGAAACATTAGCGATATTGCACCCAGGGGCAATTCTGACCCTTTTACACGTCGCCCGGCGTGTCCTTGTCTGGTCGATTTTTCCTTAAGATTCTCGCACATCATCTGACGCAGCTGTAGGATTGAGCCTTTGCTGTATCGTGTTGTTTGCGTCGAGAAGGACGCGGGGAACCGCTATAGGAAGCCGGTTGCTTCACTCCTCAATAAACCCGCCGAATTCTGCACTCTTGCTGTCCGTCATCTCGCCATCCTCGGTCCCCCGTCCGGGCATCTATCGGAGGAGCTCCTCCAGCTGCTTAAGCGCTGCAGCGGCGTAACTGACCTTGTACTTGCCTGCTCGCTGCAGCAGAACCCTAGTCTCCCGGCCCTCCTGGCAGAAATGCCTCTTCGGCGCTTCACCGTCTGTGTTGCGGAACTCGGCTGTCATTTGACCCACCCTCTATTTGCCTCTCTCACCCATCTTGTCTCAGTCGACTGGGTCGAGGAGACCTTCCGTGCCCTGGCGGAGCAAATTCCGGCGCTCCTTTCCTTGACGCACCTTGCGATGTTCTTCAATGTCTCGCAAAACATTATTCTACCCATCCTCCCCAATTGCCCCCGCCTCCAGGTTTTCTTGGTGCTTTACGCCCACGACTTGATGTACAATGCGGCAAAACGACTCCCCCGCCAAGATCCTCGCTTTGTGATCGGGGTACACGGTGATTATTGGACCCAGTGGGAGGCCGGGGCGAAAGGGCTAGGTGATCACTGGTCGCGCGCTGACGATTTCCTCGCGCAGAAACGACGAGGAGAGATTGAAGGTGCGTTCCTTTGGTGTTTCCACTCAGCCTGAGCTGACGCTCCACGCTAGATGGACGTTACTGGCTAGATTGACAGCGCACTCCAAACTTTGCTGTTTGTTCACTCTATCATATTTTAATTTCTTTTATACCGAGGCCAATGGAACCTCGTCAGTGCATCACAAAAGTAGGATGACATCAGTCGAGCCACAATCGTTGATCCACTGCCGCCCATATTCCGGTCCATTTGGCCTCAGGTGGTGCTCCAGACTTGGGATCCTCGACGGATGAGATGAAACCGAACCGCGCCCGTTTTGAACTAGCGTCCACCCGGCGCTGATAAGAAGACGGGTTTGTGGGCGCGCGCTGATCCCCGATCGCGCACCTTGCCTCCTGCCTCCACGTCGTTTCGACCGACCTCTCGACCGACCTCTCACAACAGGCGATCTAAGTGCTTTCACAACACAATGACCACTGAATACCCGGACGAGGTAAGCTTTCGTGCTACATCCGTCGGGCAGTCTCTTAAATCGAAACGTGCACACAGTCAATCGTGCCCGTACCTGGACAGTACTCCGAGACGCATCCCAGCCCCCCGCCGTGGGTGTTGAAGATACACGAGGTCAGAGTTTTCGATACCTTCCGCTCTACTGTCAATCCTGATGTCGTGACTAGCGTCCGCCGCCACCGAGGACTACGGAGCGGCCGACTCGGATGGAAGACTCCTACTTCATCGAAGCAGAATGTGTGCCAATCCAAAATTGGGGTGGCGGGACGGAAATCCCTCCTGAGAGTCCGCTTCACGAAGATTGGCGGAATACTAACTGGATGTCCTGGCCCGGCTCTATGTGGTTGTCGCCCACATTCATCAGCAGGAGCTACATCGGCATATGTGCCAGAGAAGGTCTGAACATACGGGGCCAGATCATTCCCATCTGTTACGCCTTCACGGAATGCATCGAAAGCTTGATGATCTTCACCACGACTGGGGGTGCGGGGCGATACCTCCTGGTGGCAAATAGGGACACCTATTACGACTTGGGGACGTTCGAAATCCTAAGCGATATCTGGATGGCGAGAGACCTGCTGCGGAATCGCGTGAAGGTTACGCTCAATGACGATATTGGGCGAATATGGACGCGTCATTTTTGGTTGAACTTTGCGTTCAAACGCGCCGGTGGGGGATATCCATGCCATCAAAGCTTGGATGCGGGCGACAGGGGGGCGTTGGTGGGAATATTGCGAGGGCTACGAAGACTTGCGCGAGATTGTGGAGCTCCACACGGACCTCAAGGAGGAGGAAATCGAGATTTCGAAGGAGATTAAACTGCGTTGGCCGCGAGTAGATGGGTCGTAGTCACATCGCCGTTTCCCTCCTGTAACACTTTAAATATCTACCCATATCTACAGTAAGCGCGGGGAAGGTGGATTTGTTCCCTATAAACATCGAAATTTTACACCACTCACCAACTCGACCCCAACGTCGTGGATGTTCATAAACGGGCAGCCATCTCCGCGTGAAGGTTGAGCTGAAAATATGTCGTCTAAACTCGTCACTCGATGCCACAGTCACTGCGCGACTCGATTCCAATTCGAAGCCTTTCGAAGCCTCGGTATGTAGGGTCGTTAGATACATTAGCGTTCAACTCAGGTCTACGCCGGTCAAAGCAATATATTTCTGATGTAGCTAAGGTTAGGGTTAGCCACCCAGACGAGCGAAAAAAAAATGGCCCACCCAGCCGAGTGGCCGTGGTGGGACTGGAAAATATTGAGACGGTGCATGCACCTAAGCACATGCAAGGCGCAAGCGCACTCTGTATGGACAGGGTCGCCGTGGAAATGGAGTGTTCCTACGCCCCACAGACCACAGGAGGTGAAGGGGTCTATGCCATCAAGGTAAGTATGAGTTCCAAGGATGAGGAGAGCGTGGTTTTATACTGTCAGTTCGCGCACGGACCATGCGTTTTAACCGATGTTTGCGCGCAATAGTTCCCGTCAAAATCCATTCCTAACCTTTGAGGACTCCGTGAAGTGAGCCGACGCTGAACACTGAATAGATCCCTTTGAGTGCTCCGTTTCCTCAGTGCCGACTCCAAACCTCCTGCGATCAAAAGACTTTGTTGAGCTTCCCAAATCGGACGCCAACGCCGACGGCCGAATCGGGCAAGACGATCCCACGCCCCTCTGTGACTCGAAAGCGACTCTCTGACTCGTCTTCCAGGAGGCTAAAACCATAGCATTGGTTTGTTTCGATCAAGCGACCTTCGGGTTTCATCGTGATGGTATGGGCCCGACACGCTTCCAGCTGCGCTACAATGCTGTGAAGGCGGAGGCGAGAGTAGGTGCTGCGCCGGGGATGAGAGGAAGTCGGCCTGAGTTTGGTGAACAGAACTTATGGCCCAGAGTCCACGCCAATGCTTCCCGGTCGGAAAGCCCACCCAATTGACTGATCATTCTTTCCTGAGAAAGGCCGCAGGCTCAACCACGTTGAATTTCGGGATCTTGGGTTGTTGCGCGAGAGAGTCGGAACGCCGAGTGAGAGAAGCGTTACCTCGCGTCTCGGTAGATAAGAGGGCGTCCGTGCGACTCCGGTTTGTTTATCCTATGCTTCCAGGTAATACCGGCGTCAGGTTGACTGGATTCGGAAGTGGCTCCTAATACCTACGGCGCACCGTGCACGTCTCACCTTTTTCAAATGCCAGTCCGTCACTGGTGACTGAATATGCTGAATGGCTGCAATTCTAAATGCAGTTAGGAAGAACCTATAAGTACAACTCGTGTGCGTATGCAGGATCGGGCATTTCGGGAGGACGCAATACTCACATTCCAACTCCATGGCGGTTTCACCCAAGAGCTCGCTCTACACATTGCTTATCCATTTAAGCTACTGCTGTCCGATGAAAGGTGTGGCACGCCCAAAAAACTCGACCGAACCTCCCACAGTGGCAGGACCCCGGATCGAACGAGGTAATTTCTGGATGTATTATCATCCCACGATCCAAGAGCACCCGACGCGCACCCTGCGCCTCCTGCCTGCTTACGGTCAGTTCAATATCCAGCTAGGAGACGAAGTAAGGGGATGCAAATTCAGCACATCCTCGCGCCGCCATGTCCTTTCATGAGAATTGAATGATCATGTTCGTCTCTGCGCAACCATGATCCACGCGACTAAACTGTAGACTTCAGGCAGGTGAGTCGCGAGGTTCAATAACTCGACACACTCAGCGTCAAACAGACGTTGAACAAGGCCATATATACGTACACAACGCAATACGATCAGGGTACTAGATGAAGAAAAGAACTATCCGACCGAACTATACCGTACACAACCCCCACTCATCCCACCGCTCACTCCCCACCCCCGTCCTCACAATAAACAAATCCCCCGCATCGTACTTCCGCTTAATCGTGCTCAGCTTCGCGTAATTTGGTCCAAAGAACGTCGTCTTCCAGTCCGCCTCCAATATATCTGCCTCGTTGGAGTACGCCGCGCCCGGCGCTGGGCCGGCGAGCTGCTGGAGGAGGGGGAGCTGGGTGGTTTTGAAGAGGGTGCGCGCGTGGTTGATTTGTGGGAGAGGTGAGTCTGGCCATTCGTTTTCGAGGATTAGCTGGGTGGGAGGAGCTTATGATAAATGGCGAGGCAGAAGGAAAAGAAGAGGGAGACGGACGTGGGTTTTGGCCGTGCGCCAGCCGGGATGGATCGCCGAGTCGATGTGCGCGTTGGCGGATACTTGACCTGAGGATGGTTAGACTTTACAGGGTGAGGGAGAGGAAGGTGGGCGACGAACCGCCTGCGACGAGGTGCCCGAGCACGCTGGTTGATACAAAGTTTAATGAGTTTGAACCTGAGCGCGCAAGTTATAACGCACTTCGTAGCACCGCTGTCCAACAGCTGTTTATACACCTTTCCAACCAGCTCGGGCGAGTTCTTGTACGTTTCCGTCGGAATGAGGCGGGAGCCAAGAACCACATTAACACCCGCATCGTCGTCCGCCATGAACAGCAGATCGTTGATCAAGGCTGGAGTGTATGTGGCCGAGACGACCGTGACATTAGCAAGACTCTGTACCGCCGCCAGAAGGGGCGCGAAGACCGCCTCGCTCTCAGCCACGGTGCGGTTCGGGACGAAACTCGCGAGCGTCATAGTCGAGCCCGGGCCCGTTGCGTTTTTGCGGAGGTAGAAGTACTGCCCGGTGTGCGTGGCGTCGAGGTCGAATATGTGCTTTGCGTGCAGGGCGGCGAGCGCGCCTGTGGCGGCGTTGTCGGTCGCGGAGAGGGTGATGAGGGAGGCGGTTGCGTTGAAGGTTGGGAAGGTGCGGAAGGTGGCGGAGACGATGACGCCCCAGCTGCCGGCGCCCCCGCCTCGCAGGGCGTAGAATACTAAATTGCGTTGAACTCGGGCTATGGATCGACGGAGCGAGCAACTTACGGTCGGGGTGAGAGATGTTGTTTACTTGGAGCAGCTCGCCAGACGCAACCACGATGTGGAATTCTAGACGAACGGAATCAATTTCGCAACACCGTGACAAGAACAAGAGAAAGGATTACCGAAGACATTGTCTGCTGCAAGTCCAAAGGTCGGGGAAAGCGCCGAGTGACCTGCGCCTTGCAAGTACCCACCGGCAGCACAGACCGTCGCCGCGGTTCCACCGACGACAATTCTGCCCTGCGCCTTAGATTGCTGGTACAAGTCCCCCAAGTGGACGCCGCTCCCCACCGTCACCGCAGCGCCCATGTTTGTGGCGCCCATGAAAAACTTGTCGGTGAAGGAGACGTTGTTCAATTTGCTGGTGTGGATCAGCAGGGATTGGGGTGCGGTTGAACGACCGAGGAAGTCGTGCCCGCTTGACTTGATCGCGAGGCGGAGGTTATGTGTAGAGGCAAACTTCACCGCCGCCTGAGGTGAAGAGCATGAGTGACTAGAACTGCATATATATATATCCGTATGGTCGCACCTGGACATCCGACACCGCTTCTACCTCGACAGAGTAGAGGGGGACGTCTCCCTGCCCACAAGTCGTACCATTTCGGTAACAAAGCGACGGAGGAGTGAGGTCGTAGCCCTGGACGGAGTTAGCATCTTATGTGGGCCGCCAAAATAGCCCGCGATGTACTTGCTCCCAGTTGACCTTCGAAATGGAAAGCGGGTCAGTGCCGCACAAGTATCGCTCAGTAAAATTGCGCACCCAGTTCATAGCTCCTGGGATCCCATTCCTGAACAGCGAACTCGACCATTCGGCGTCCGTGCACCCGCCAGGCCGCGTTGCGCAAAATTCCGCTGAAGGGACTACACCAACCAGTCGCCCCGAGATGGTGGCGTTGAGAGCATCCCAAGCCGCCTTAGTGGGGTATCCCGCGCTCCCGGGGACATTGCGGCACCCGCGCGCGGACTGGGCGTAGCCCTGGGGAGCCAGGAGACTGATCAGAAGCGCAGTGGAGGGGCCGACGGACCTCATCAGCAGACAGTGATTTAAATTGGTGAAACGACGTCTCCCTTTTATATACCAGCGAGAGGTTGCCAGGCTGTCAGATCTCTCCATGCTATGCGGATCGCCGAGCAAGCCCGGACAGCGAAGAGCTGTTGAGGGTTTCAAGATGCGAGTCGGAATCGCGAAGCAGCGTTTTTTTTGGGCGTGATTCCAAAGTTGCGAATGGGGCACCCACTCCGGATGTGCGTTAGATGTGAGCCACTTATTGTGGGCGCACGGTTCCCAGAGGGAGAAGCTGCGGTTTCCAGCGACAAGGTCAAGACAAAGCGCAAGTACGAAGAAGGTCTTCCGGCGTGAGAACTGCCCGGCTAGCACGGCAATCTATACCACGCAGCCGAGCCCGGAAATCACCACTCGCAAATCATAATGACCTACCGCAGTACCGCAGACTTCGACACCTGAGCGTGTTCTGCTTTCTCGATTCATAGCCCAGAATAGATACCCACTTAAAACCGCCATGTCAAAATATCGAAAAGCGTCAAGAGCTTCTGCTCGACGACTACTGGACCTGCGATGGCTTTGCTGAATTGACTCGCACATCAACTGGCTGGAATCTAGTCTTCTGGGCACTCTGGATCTGTCGGACGCTCGCGGCTTCAATCCAGAAGAAAACCCCGCATCCAGCTCATTTGTGGCTCGTTCTGTCTGATTTTTCTCCTGTGCATGATGGGCAACCTTGCAGTCCATCCTGTTGCTCAATCGGACACACTGTGGCCTGCCGTCTTCCGTTTGCTTCGTCGCTGCTATCCTAGCCCAGTTGCCTTTTGGGGTTGGCCCATTGCTGCCGTTCTCGCTAGACATTTACTTGGCGCTGTCGCCGTTGAGCTCCGCTCCGCCCGCCCTGTTTCTTCCGAGCGGCGGCTCGATGGCCTGGTCCGCGGCGCGTTGAGCTCGACTCCGCCTGCCTTGTTTCTTCCGAGCGGCAACTCGATGACCGCGGCGCATTGAGCTCTGCTCCGCCTGCCCTGTTTCTTCCGAGCGGCGACTCGATGAGCGGCCTGGTCCGCGGCGCATTGAGCTCCGCTCCGCTTGCCTTGTTTCTTCCGAGCGGCGACTCGATGACCGCGGCGCATTGAGCTCCGCTCCGCCTGCCCTGTTTCTTCCGAGCGGCGACTCGATGAGCGGCCTGGTCCGCGGCGCATTGAGCTCCGCTCTGCCTGCCTTGTTTCTTCCGAGCGGCGACTCGATGATCAACCTGGATTCCGTGTGTTGGCGGGTCGCTCCGCGCCCGTGTTCTTGCTTTGATCGTGTGTTGAGCCCAGCTCCACATTGCCCCCACTTCCCCGGCGTGGATTTCTTCTATGGAGCCTTCGTGTTCCTTGGTCTTTATGGCCTCCCAAAAGTCCTTGGGTTCGTTTCTCTGGAATCGAATGGTGTGCATGCATACTGCAAAGGGAAGACTTACGACAACCGCCTGTTGATTGGTGGCAGCTGGGGATTCATACCTGGGAGGGGGGGACTCCTCCCGCACACCAGCTTCGCTTCTTTTGTAGCTGGTGGTCAGGTCCCACGAGGTTCTATCCAGCGTGCCTGCCATTTACACGGCCAGCCAGTCACACTTGGTGAGCGTCTTGTAATATCGATCCCCTGGAATGGTGTGTGCTTCGTCAACATCTTGTAGTTTTATGGACGGATAACCACCCTTACATACCTACTTGTTTGTTTTCGATAGACTCGTTGTTCATGTTGTGGACCACGCGAGTATAATATACCCCCCCCCCCCCCCCCCCCCCCCCCCCCCCCCCCCCGTCCAATACAACTGAAAAGTCACGCACCGAACCTGTTCAGCGGATTTACCCACGGTTGGATTATTGGTCGGGCATCTCGGGCA